TCTCTTTAACTGAATAATGTAAAAAAAACTAGCGATTCGCCCCGACTAAGTAAAGATGATAAGTAAAATTGGTTACAAATATTGGTGGTATAACATCTCACAAATTATACATGTAAAAAATCTTAAAATGTGCTTAGGTAAAAAATTGATTTTATGACACTGTATTGATGGATTGTAGAATATGTTAGGATACTTTTGTAGAATGTTATTTTTTGACATGGTATTGAGGCTGATAAATATTTGGAGTATTTTGATATTATGTAATATTGTATAGTGGTAATGTAAAAATATCCTCCACCATATATCATCCTGTTTTAAGTGCTGATTTACTACGTGCTCGGCGGTGAAGGAAAACATCGTGAGGAAACCTGCATGTGTGAGAAATAAGAAAATATTTCGAAGACATGTGAAGTTCGCCAACACGCATTGGGGCAGCGCGGCGGACGATTCCTTGCCCTAAAACCCTCTCATAATTGAGCGGAGGCCTGTGCCCAGGTGTGGGACTTATATATATATATATATATATATATATATATATATATATATATATATATATATATATATATAGGCTGTGTGCCGTGTAGTGGCGGTTAAGAATATCCACTACCCCATATCTTCCCGTGGGTGTCGTAAGAGGCGACAGAGGGAGACAGGCAGGAGATGGGCAGCAGCGTCTTCCTGATGACAACTGTGACGTAATAAAAAACTGCGGTTGCCAACCCGCTCGCCAAGCGTGGCAACTATGGCAAATACCCCCCAATGAATAAATACACAAACAGACGGCCCCCAGTCCCCGGCGGCCCCGCTATTCCTGGCTACGGTGGCGACCATGGTAACGGCGGGGCAGGGGGTGCTAAGAATCTCCGGTGGAGGTTCGGTTGCCACCTACGACGACTCGACCTGGCAACATATAACGCACGCACCCTGAGGACTGACGAGAAGATACTGGAGCTGGAAGAAGAGGTAGACAAGTTGCGCTGGCATATTATTGGATTATCCGAGGTCCGAAGAGAGGGGGAGGACACGGCAATCCTCGAGTCCGGCAACTTGTTCTATCACCGGGAGGGCGACCATCTGTCCCAAGGAGGTGTCGGATTTATCGTCCACAAATCTCTCGTCAACAACGTTGTAAAGATTGGGAGTGTGTCGACGAGGGTCGCGTACCTGATACTCAGAATCACCAAACGGTATTCGCTGAAGGTCATTCAGGTTTACGCACCAACCTCGGCACATCCCGATGAGGAGGTGGAGGAAATGTATGAGGATATTTCCAGAGCCATACATTCCTCCAAAACCTACTACACGGTGTTGATGGGAGACTTCAACGCAAAACTGGGCACAAGAGAAAGCGGTGAGCTGAAGGTAGGGAAATTTGGAGTAGGGCAACGGAACCGAAGGGGCCAGCAGCTGGCCGACTTTATGGAGAAAGAGGAACTCTTTATGATGAACTCTTTCTTCCAGAAGCGGCCCCACAGGAAGTGGACCTGGTCGAGCCCCGACGGTTCGACAAAAAATGAGATTGACTTCATTATGACGACCAGACGCCAACTGTTCAGTGATGTCTCAGTGATCGCAAGGGTGAAAACTGGCAGCGATCACCGAATGGTTAGAGGCACACTGAACCTAAACGTTAAGTTGGAGAGGTCTCGTCTAATGAAGTCAACGTTCCGTCCCCCTCGTGCTCTAATCCAGAATCCCGAAACCTTTCAGCTCGAGTTACGTAACCGCTTCCAGTGCCTAGAAGATTGCAATGCAGTGGACGATATGAACTACAAGCTCGTGGAAACTGTCCATGCGGTCGGAGCTAAGTTCTGCAAGACCCGCCGCAGAAGAACACAAAAACTCTCCGATCACACTCTTAATCTCATGGCTGTTAGACGGGAGATGAGGCTGCAATCGTCAACAGATTTGACAGCATACAGGCAACTGAACAGACAGATCTCCAAATGCATACGGCGAGACTTACGCAACTTTAATACTTCTCGTATTAAAGAAGCGATCGAGCGGAACCAGGGCTCCAAAGTCTTTGCCAGAGATCTGTCTGCCAGAAAGAGCCAACTGTCAAGGCTGAAGACTGAGTGTGGCAACATCGTTTCCGGGACACCTGAGATTTTGAGTGAGATTGAGAGGTTCTATGGGCAGCTGTACACATCATCGTTGGAGCCACACGCAAGTGTGAGTAACGATCCAAGAGCAAGTCTTATCCGACACTATTCCGATGATATCCCGGACGTCAGTCTAAGCGAGATTAGAATGGCTCTCCAGCACCTTAAAAACGGCAGGGCCCCAGGCGAGGATGGAATTACAGCGGAGCTTCTGAAAGCGGGTGGAACACCGGTACTTGAAGCCCTTTAGAAGCTCTTCAATTCCGTCCTCCATGGTGGCACTACTCCAGAGGCGTGGAGCAGAAGTGCGGTGGTCTTGTTCTTTAAGAAAGGCGACAACGCTCTCTTAAAGAACTACAGACCGATTTCCCTTCTGAGCCGCGTCTACGTGCTGTTTTCGAGAGTCATATACGAATCGTCTCGCACGCAGACTTGACGACTTCCAGCCTCCCGAACAAGCCGGTTTCCGAAAAGGCTTCAGTACCATAGACCACATACATACCCTGCGGCAGATTGTACAGAAGACTGAAGAGTACAATCTGCCACTTTGCCTGGCGTATGTGGACTATGAGAAAGCCTTTGATTCCGTCGAAATTTGGGCGGTGCTACAGTCCCTTCAGCGGTGCCAAGTTGACTGTCGGTATATCGAAGTGCTGAAGTGTTTGTACAGTAGGGCTACGATGGCTATCCGAGTACAGAACCAGAGCTCGAAACCTATCCAAGTGCAGAGAGGTGTAAGACAGGGTGACGTTATATCCCCGAAACTCTTCACCGCTGCATTGGAAGACGTTTTCAAGCTACTGGACTGGAAAGGATACGGTATTGACATCAATGGCGAGTACATCACTCACCTTCGATTTGCCGACGATATAGTCCTTATGGCAGAATCGCTGGAGGACTTAAGCACTATGCTCAATGACCTCAATAGTGCCTCCCAACGGATAGGTCTTAAGATGAACATGGACAAAACAAAGATCATGTTCAATGTCCATGTCACACCTATGCCGGTAGTTGTTGGGAGCACTATGCTCGAAGTTGTTGACGAATACGTTTACCTGGGACAAATAGTCCGACTAGGTAAGTCCAACTTCGACCGCGAGGTCAATCGACGGATTCAACTCGGCTGGGCAGCGTTCGGGAAATTACGGCATATCTTTTCGTCAGGTATACCTCAATCTCTAAAAACTAGATTGTACAACCAGTGCGTGTTGCCAGTGATGACTTACGGATCTGAGACGTGGTCCTTCACTGCTGGCCGTATGAGGACGCTTAAGGTCGCTCAGCGAGCTATGGAGAGGGCTATGCTCGGAGTTTCTCTGCGTGATAGACTCAGAAATGAGGATATCCGCAGTAAAACCAGAGTGACCGACATAGCCCAACGGATTAGTAAGCTGAAGTGGCAATGGGCCGGCCATATAGCTCGAAGAACCGATAACCGATGGGGAAGAAAGGTTCTCGAGTGGCAGCCTCGTACCGGTAGGCGTAGTGTAGGGCGACCCCCCACTAGATGGAGTGACGACCTGGTAAGACATGCAGGAAGTCGATGGATGCAGGTGGCTCAGGACCGTGCTTTGTGGCATTACTTGGGGGAGGCCTATGTTCAGCAGTGGACTTGTGAAGGGCTGTAATGATGATGATGATGATATAGGCTGTAACTAACTATCATCCTGTGGGAGTCGCAAAAGGCAACATAGGGATATGAAACAGGAGATGAGCAAAAGCATCTTCCTGATAACAACTCAAAATATTTAAAAACTGCAGTTACAAACCCGCCTGCCAATTACGGTATGAATCATACCGTACGATGATAATAATATTTATAATAATAATCTTTTGGCCAAACACTCAAACGCTACTCAATTTTTAAGATGTCTTTAAATCTCGTGGTGTCACAGGCACTTTGACTTAAATTCATAGAGACAGCACGAGACTTAACAGCATCGTAAAATTGAGCAGCGTTTAAGTATTTGAGCTGCAATTGATAAACATGATGACGAAAAGAAATTTCATTTATTTTTCACTTTAAACCTTTTACAACAAAAAAAATACCAAAACAAATTGGTTCTAAAGTATAATATTAATAATTCTGTCGCAACTAACATGACGTTCTAAACATTTGAGTTACATTTAAAATCAAAATAATTTTATAATATAAAAAAATATTATAATATACAAAAAAAAAAAAATACAAAATTTCGATGATTATACATAGACAAATAAAATAGCAAATAACACTTTTTTTGGTGCGAATCGAAGCTAGGTTGCCTTGATATTTACGGTGAGAATGAACACGTGAAAACTCACACTGGAACACAGACTAATGGGAGAGGGTAATTATTTCATTTGGTGTAAATCGGATGTCCGGGTGAATTTCCCCCTTAAAACTAAGTTGGATTTATAACGTGCCATACTATTATATATAGTACTGAATGTACAGTACAAGGAGTACTCATACATTTTGGGTATTTTATAATTAATCTTGTATTTTTTTGTCATTAAAGACTCAAAACGTCACTACCATGTGTGTCCCATATAACATTTTCGTCGTTATTTCAGCAAAAATGTCATATTAAAAGTATGTTTATAAGCCAACGTCACTATTTATGTAAAGCTTAATAATCATTACTAATATCTGGGATTTAACAAATGAAATCAAATTTAAAGTGATAGAAAAACAACATCGTAAATATTGTCCCAAGCGAAAACAGTCATTCCCATGTCAGTTCATGTCACGACGTGTAGTACATCACTCAACAGCTGTATAAAATTTCTGCAACTGCCCCGCGCTCCTCCCAGTCACCACGCAGCCGTCAACGAAAACGCACGTCGCACCTCCTGACTGATTTCAAAAAAAGTAAAGAAAAAGAGTGTTACCGTGGTTTTTGTCAGAAAAAATTGTCTTTATTGTGGGTCTACTTCCTCGGTAAGTACACAAAATATTAGAATAGGTTTTATTTTCCCTAATTATTTAACCATTTTGTTATAACGTAAGCAATAGAACATATTCCGGAACATTAACCCTACAATGTTATGCGAATAATATTTGATTTTGTCATTACCGTGTTTGTCATTAACATGTATTACCGTGATTGTTTTAAGCCACGGTAATGACAACGATAACATGATAATGACTTACATATAATACATAAGTAAATATTAACAGTTTTTAGCTAGTACCGATTGTAATTGGTATATAAATAAGCATTGTGAATTATATACGTCAATTTTGCTTGTTCTAGACAAAAAAGTAAACATGCCACGACGTAAAAAGCCAGTAAATAGAGAAGATATGTTAAGAAAAAAACGATTAGCGGAACAAAAAAGGCGCAACAAAATAAAGTCTAACCCTGAGCTATACAAAGAATACTTAGAAAAAGAAAAAGCTCGCTATATCAAAAGAAAGGATACTAAAACAAATTGTACCAATTAAAGAATTAAAGCCAAGGGAACAGAGGGCACAGAGAAAAAAAAGGAAGATAAACCAACAGAATTTAAGAAGAAAGAAAAAAGAACTTAAAATGTTACAAGAAAAAGATACGCCACCTGAATCAGATTCTGAAGATTTCCTGGAACGAAATTTTGAATTACAACAAGAACATCAAGATGCAATAAAAAAAGCTTCTACTTTTGCAAGATTAGTCACCGAGAATTATGCGTCACATGATCCATGGATTAATCCCAGACCTGGACCGTCTGATCAATCTGAGTTAATCATAGGCAATAAAACACCAGACAATCGGAGACCAGTTACAAAAAATTGCACATCAAATTCTGCTCAACCTATTTGTCACACTCCTAAGGATAGTCCCTCTTCAGCTACGCGTAGAGTTCGCTATAGAATGCTCAAAAAATGCAAATACTATCAAAAACGTTTGTCGGAGCTAGAAAAGCAAAATGCAGCGTTTCGCAAACGCGTTTTTCGCATGAGACAAACTATTACTAAGCTAAAGTCTTGTAACAGCCCAGGAACAAAAGCCGGAATGATAATGGCCGACCCTACCAAAAAAGAAGATGTTAAAAAAGCCATAATATTTGGCGATATTTTAAAAAGTAACATCAATCTAGATTACGAGAACCAGAAAAAGGCTGAAAAACAAAAGCTCAAAGAGAATATAGAACCAGTACGTGAGAAACTGAAAAATTATAATTTACTTAAGGAGTTGCCTAAAATAACAAGGAAATCTAATAGAAAAGAAAAAGAAAGCACGAAAAAAGAGCAAATTGATAGTGACATTTGATGTTTTTATGAAGATGATGATAATTCTAGAATGACGTCTGGTAAAAAAGACTGCATCACTTTAAACAAACAAAAGAAGCAGAAGAGGTTTCTTAAAGATAGTCTTTTGAACCTACACAAAAAGTTTTTGAAGAAATACGATTATAACGTCAGTTACTCATATTTTTGCAAAGCAAAGCCATTTTGGGTTATAGTTCCTACAGAAAAGGATAGAGAGACCTGCATGTGTAAAATACACGAAAATGTAGATTTGCTGGCGAAAGCTCTTCACAAAAAACGAAATAATCGTCGAAAAATCTGCAATCTTGTCTTCTAGTGTATGCAACATCTACAATATAAAATGTCTGGAAAATAAATGCAGAGTTTGCATTAATAAAGGCCTGACAGTCAGGGAGTTTAAAAATTCTATTGAGATTGAATATCAAATGTGGGGCTCGGGTTTGAAGGAAGTACGAACAAAGAATGGATTAAGAATAATAAAGATTACTGAGAAAAAACAGTTTAGAGGAAAACCAAGAGAAGTATTACTTCTTTTGTTAAAGCTTCTAATAAAGTTTTACGTTCACAATGCTAATATTGTGAACCAGTACGAATGCACAACGAAATTGAAGAGGGAACCTGAAAGCAACAGTGTTGTGATCCATATGGATTTTAGTGAAAATTATTCGATCAAATACAACACCGAGATTCACACTAGCGTTATATACCTCAGTAGCTCTTCAACACCTATAAGCTTTTGCACATACAGCGATAGCGTGCGTCACGATGCAGCTGCTGTCTGGGGACATATAATTCCTATACTGAGGTATATCGAGAAAACGGCGCCAGAAACTGAATCACTCCACTTCATGACCGACTCCACGTGTAGTCAATACCGGAATAAGACTATAAATTATATCATCACGAAATTGCACTGGTACTTACCAAAACTAAAAACTGTCACGTGGAATTACTCAGAAGCTGGCCACGGAAAGGGGGGCACCAGATGGCGTCGGGGCTACCTTAAAAAGGACGGCTGATCGAATAGTCAGATGTGAGAAAGATATACCTGACATTAAAACATTTTCGGAAGAGATTAAAAAATCCGTAAAAAACGTAATTCTCGAATATGTATCCGAATATGATATAATCGAAAAAGAATACCTAATGCCTAAACTATTGTTGAAACCGTTCAAAGGCATGATGAATGTGCATCAGATTGTGTGGGACAAAAATAATAAAGACTTAATTGCTCTTCGACGCCAAAGCTGCATAACTGATTTGTGTAAAAATTATGCTATAGCTTGTCCCCACGATAAACACCTCGGGTTTTACAGTCATCCCACAGAAGAGTCGAATCAGACAAACTCTTCTAAAGAACTTGTGATTATTTCCAATGTTGTACTCGTGCCAAGTCGTGAAGAAAGATCTCGCAATAATTTCCAAAACCAGTTTGAAGAGCATTTGCTCCAAAATCAAAAAAGTGATGACGAATATGAAGGAGAGCGGGCGTCGTGCCCGTCACTTGAAGTTGCTAAAATTCAAAGATCGGAAGCATTTTTAGCTCGTACGAACGCAGAGTTGCCAAGAGAGTTACAAGACATCAAAACTGCGAAATTTGAAGAACAAACGTTCTGCTTGTCTCAAGATGTTAGCATGATTATAGAAACGTCGGCAGTTACTGATATTAATTCAGATTTAGATATTACCCTAGAGCCATCCGAAATTGTGATGTTTGAGACGTCAACCCCATTTGAGGCTGCTCCAATTTATGCCGAAACTTTAATCGCTTTGCCGGGTGCTTCTACAGCAGATAATGAAGCTATCTCCGATCCAATGAATGTGTCATGCGTTGACCCGTTAGGTAGTGAATTTGACGAAGCATCTTCCAATATAACAGGATTAGAAAAGGCAAAACTAAAGGATCCATATGAGAATATACAAATAGGCTCGTGGGTTGTTACGTCGTACCAATGTCAGTTAAAGAAGAATACTGCCATAAAGTATTTTATTGGACAAGTGATAAATATTAATCATGATGACAACACTTTTACAGTAAAATATCTCAGAAGGATAAAAAACACCGTAAATGTTTTTTCTTGGCCGAACAAAGATGATGAAGACTGTGTCACTAAAAATGTTATTGTTAAAGTATTACAAGAACCCAATATAAATCGCAGAGGCCAGCTTATATTTGATGATATCGAAAATTTACTACCTGAGTAAAAATATTAAAATACGTAAATGTTTGCTAAACTAGATTATTTTTTTTGACATTTCGAGTTCGTAGTTACAATAATGTCTACTTAAAGTTTTTGATAATTTCACATATATTTTTTAGTTTTCATTTTTAATCAAGCTATTATATTATAAATTATAATCTAGTACACTATTGTTCTCTGAAAAGTTAATTGATCTCAATAACTAACCTATGAAAAATTATTAATATATCATTTGTTTTTATTTGCTAGGTGCAAATAAGGTCTAGGACCAATTACACTAAAAGAATAGTTGATCTCAGTAAACATATAAAAGTTGAATAGAAGTTTAAGTTTTATTTTCCATTTTTGTACGTATGTGATAAAAGGTAATAAATGTATCTAGTTTAAGTTATAATTATTACAGAACTGAGAAAGTTATTTTGTGAGATTATATCTTTACCAAAGAAATTTTTAATAAACATTTATTTCATTAACAATCTGTTTTATTTGATATTTTTAGTATATGTTTCAAGGGAAAAAGAACAGTACGAAGTATCATTTATTACTGCCGTGTTCAAACGTCATTACCGTGTGCACGAAGTGTCATTACCGTGAACAATCGTCACTACCGTACACACATAATGTCATCACCGTGACTCCTAAAATTTTAGGGGCCCATATCTCTACTAATTGAGGCCCTAGGAGAGGGCCTTCATTTTTTTAATAATTCACACATTAGAAACTTTCAATTGAAACTAATTTTGCGGTTTAAAATACATTTTTATTTTATTTTTCCCAATCTGTCCAATTTACGTCAAATGAAATAATTACCCGAGACCTGTGGCCCGCCGTGGAACTTATGAGCTGTAACTTTGCTTTGATTCTGTTGTATTGGTGATTGGTTGTCACTAGAGATGGCCCGAATATTCGTTTTATATTCGGCATTCGGCAGCTTTACCGAATATTCGACTAATTCACCGAATATTCGTTAAAGTGGTACTAAAGTATCCACTGTATGGAAATGTACGCCATGTCTTACATCATTTTGCTGTTGAAAGTATTTTTATTTATGGTTTAAATTTACTTGTATAGCGTTATGTTTTTGAGGCACTGTAGATTTATTTCCAATTATAGACAGTAGAAAGCTTGATAAATTTTTGTTTGGAATCAAACAAAGAAACATTACATTACAGTCGTCAGTTTTTCTAAAATAGGTCCAAATAGTAGATCTCCTGCCACTCATTTTCATATGATGACTTATCAATTTTCACTAAGAATAACACAACGAAATACTTTTTTTCTCAAAAAATAGTCAAAACATAAGCATGTGCCGGCAATTTGCTCAGTACTATACATAGAGTAGAGTAATATATACAGAAATAGAGAGCCATCTCCTAGGATTTTTTGTCACCCAATATGAATAGTGTCGTGTCGTCTGGTATCATATCCCTTGAACTAATCTCAATATCATGTTGACTATAGATAGTTGTATGTAGTTATGTATATACGGCTATCTATACTATAGGCGGTTATATTTATATTTTAAGGGATTACGGTTCAATTAAAGACGTATTATAGATTTCAGTAATATTAACATTTATTTTTCTTTAACATTTATATTTAACATACACGATGTAAAAGCGTTTATTCCGCAAAATACAACACCAAACAAATTAAATATGTCCACCGGGTTACCGGAATGATAAATGAAAGCGTCTATTTCGCACAACACTACACAAACATACAATGTGGTGGAACCACATGAATGTCTAAACAGACAACAAGAAACAGAGGGCTAATCCAACTCAACCAAACTTATTGTAGCAACAACCGAAAATCACTTATAAACTATAATAAGACAACAACTTGCTCAGACGCCGGTAGCCATTATGTCATAATATAAAGTAATAAAGTTGCTACTTGCCAGTTCGAGAATAACCAGAATTGGTGTAGTCGCCATCTAGCGCACCTTTTAGAAACTAATGTTCGAAAGTTTATGAAGACAATGTATAAGATGATACTAGTGTCTGCAAATTATTGGACCCCAACCTAAAGTATGGAAGTGTACCCCCCCTGATACTATATTTAGAATTAAATGATGCAATAAAATGTCAGGTCCAGCGCGCTTTACGATAACAAGTTTCGACATCAATTGGTTAGGTACCGATGTAATCCTGCCGAATAATGTTCGGCCGAATATTCGGTTCGGTAAAATTTTTATCGAACTTTCGGCCGAATATTCGTATTCGGTGAAATCCATATTCGGCCCATCCCTAGTTGTCACACGGGTTTGATAAATTTTCTCAGAATGATTTTAATTAACGGCATAATTTTCATTTGAATAGCTATATTTTTCTTAGTTTTAAACTAATTATTGTACGTAAGTGTTTGTTTATTATTCGAAGCTAGCTTATCTACTGGGGATGGAAGAGATTGAACAGGATTCAGATCCTCCTTATGATGCCCGAAAATCTGGATCTTCACCCGACTTTTTTTCTTAATTCTAGTTCTACTGATACATTTCATCAGACTGATACTGTTAAACCTATGAAATGTAAAGCTTATAATATATCGTCTTTAAATTTAGAACCTAAGAAAAAAGTGTCTTCTCTTCCCTCAGCAGCCATACAGAACATATTTATTCATCCTTTATCTGAAGAAAAGAAACGCTACAATAGTAATAACAGTGCACCTTTTATTGTTCACATTATGAAATCGTCAGTGGAGCCCTCCTCAGGAACAACAATTAAGGCAATTAAAGTGGGTCAATTTCTTTACCAAAATAATATTCAGGGAATTTTAAAAAATGGTGTTAAGAGCATAGGAAGCAATCGAATTTCTACAGAATTTTTTCACCCCAACTAGCTAACGATTTTGTTATAAATCCATTACTTGCTAAAGCAAATTTAGTAGAATGGATATTATTAAAGGTATTCCAGTCAATATAGGTATGGATGAATTCGTTTCTGCATCAGAAGTTCCTTCTTCTACGGAAATAATTCGCGCTCGTTGTCTAAACCGTAAAGTTGTTAAAGCAGACAACTCTGTTGAGTGGCTCCCAAAACATACGACCGTTATTATGCTCTCCAGTAAATTACTACCCTCACATGTTTTTGCCTATTTCACTTCATATCCTGTAGAACCTCACCTCTTACATACAATACAATGTTATAACTGCTGTCGTTTTGTACATGTTAAGTCTAAATACAGATTTAAGCCTTGATGTTATAAATGTGGACAACCTCATGTTGGATAAACATGTGAAGTTACCTCGGTGACATGTCTTCACTGTACTGGTAATCACGCATGCGCCTATTAGTTCATCCTGTCCAGAATTTAATAGAAAAAAATCTATTAAAGTAATTATGTCACATAAACATATCTCTTATGATGAAGCATCCGTAAGAGTCCATTAAAACAAGCTTATTCAGATATTGCAAGCAAAACTCCTTTAAATACAACTTCTCATGGTAGTGACACGAATTCATATAAAAAAACTTTCTATATAAATAGGAAATCACGTTTTCCGCAGCATCCGATCATGTATATAATCATACAGCCCATAAATTCATAATCCAAACCCCAAGAAGTTCCCTTCCTAATGGAAGTGCTTACCTTAAAGATAATGCGAAAATTGTATAGATTTACTTATATCCACACTTATGTGTATCATTTCGAAATTTGACGATCACTGTTTATCTTAATTTAGAACACTGAATACTGTAACAATAACAAATGAAATGATTTTTGTAATGCTTTGCCCTATCTGAAATTTGTAAAAAATATCCTTTTAATTGATTTTTCTGATTCTGACTAAGAACTATAAGCATTATTTTAAGACAATTTCGTTTAACAAATGAAGTAAAAGCCATACACATTTAAGATGCAAAATGAAAACAATAAAGGATCACACCGTAATGGTACAAACTCGTAAGTAAATTACCTTCTAACTCTTCTCCGATGTTACAGGCACTGGCGAGTCAGGCAAGTCAACATTCATCAAGCAGATGAGAATTATCCACGGATCGGGCTACAGCGACGATGACAAACGCGGTTTCATCAAGCTCGTCTATCAGAACATCTTCATGGCTATGCAGAGTATGATACGCGCTATGGACCTACTCAAAATACAATATGGAAATCCGTCCAATGTTGTAAGTTACTTTTATTTATTTAACTTTTACTTAGATCACATTTTTATTTAATATGTATGAAAACCAGAATTGAATGCAATGAAATTTTCAAAAGAATTAAATGTGGTATTTAGTTCACTTTGAAAAAAGATGTTATTCTTTTATTTAAAACTCTTACTAACTAGCTTTCTCTACTAGTCAACCCTTACTTATATTGACCACACTATAAAATTTTTGGTAAAGTCAATTTTACGTGGTAGAGCCATGCTGCAGCTATATTAATTGTATAGTTGTAGCACGAATGGGTCGGCTCGACCGGGGAAGGACCACGCTCTCACAGAATACCAGCGTCAAATAGCAGCTTAATGCTGCTGTGTTTCGTATGGTGAGTGTAGAGAACTGGAGACCCTTTTTACTGGTCCATCTTAGTCCTCAAGGATGACAACGCGTCTGCATTTTGATTCGCTATATGCTTAATTTTTGATAAATTTTGATGCTGATAATGTCTTGTAGCTCCTTATCTATTTCGGCCACGACAACAGCTGCCATATACTATCAGAAATTTCTTCTTCACCAGCCTATAAAGGTCCACTGCTAGAGATGTGCCTCACACTTAGTTGGCAGGAATAGCGTTATTGGTATGCTTGGCAGGCGGATTGTCGAGCGCTCATTCTTCCTAACCTGTTCCATGTAACATTTGTGATAAAATTGGACAACAGGCTAGATTACATTGTCAGACATATAGGGATAGTAACAACAAAACCTGTCATGAAATAATCTGTCTAGGTATTTGTATAAATTTTGTCTCGCTTTAACTTTTTGGATTGAACTGATAGTAAGTCTTAGACTCACTATCCTGAACACGATGCCACACGGTCTTCAATCTAATATATAAAAATGAATAGTTGTTTGTTCGTATTTTATGCGCTGCCATTACCGTTTATCTTATTGCGATAAAACGTTGTCAACATAATGCTTGCACTTCCGCGAAGGTTATAGGCATAAGCAGCCGTACTAGCTCAGATGGTTAGCGCTCGCTGTAAATTTTACTGTACGCGAGCAAACTGGGTTCGATCCCCACCGGCACCAAAGAAATTGTTAATTGCGATTTTAAGTGTTGGTTTACCACGTGCTCGGCGGTTAAGGAAAATATCGTGAGGGAATCTGCATGTCTGAGAAATAAGAAAAAAACATGTGAAGTTCACCAACACGCATTGGGGCAGAGCGGCGGATAATTCTTTGCACTAAAACCCTCTCAGAAATGAGTGGAGGCCTGTGCCCAGGAGTAGGACGTGTATGTAGCCTATAACTTTAACTTTTTATAGGCATAGCATTCCTAATTAAACAATATAACTTCCAAATTTAAAACAATATTTCCACCATTATATCTTTTGCGGCAGAAAAGGGTACCAGTTTGTATATAATAAAATTAAACAAAATTAATTTATTATGATGAGGCAAGTACAATGTCAATGTATACTAAAATGTCTTATCTACAAAGGAAGTAAGTTAAAGAGACATACCCTCTGTTTCACTATATTTATGCTATATGTGTAAATTGTGATCCAATTTAATGCCATAACCGCAAATTAAGCTATTGCTACAGATTGGAATTTCCGCTTTGATCATTTCAGCAGGAATATTGTAATAAAATTAATACAATTGTGATTTTATCTGCAATTAAATAATGGCTATATAAAATTACAGGAAAAGGCGGAGTTGATATCATCAATCGACTTTGAAAGCGTTACAACATTTGAGAGTCCTTATGTTGAGGCTATAAAGGCCCTTTGGGCTGATTCGGGAATACAAGAGTGCTACGATCGCAGGCGAGAATACCAACTGACTGACTCAGCCAAATAGTAAGTTAAGTTTATACACAGTACAAAACAAGCAAGCAAGCAAAATAGAAATATATTGAAATATCATCATCTATAAATTGACTTCAGTTTTAATCTTTTGTTTACTTTTGTATTCATTCATTTTTTACCTGTGATGTAACTAATGTTTACATCAAAGCTATACCACTATATTGTTTTGTTTATGATTTTCATTCAAACTACTATTTATTTTCAAAGTTAAACATGCATTTATCATAACCATATTGATTAATGTCAAAACATTTTGTTCATTGTTCAGTATAATATATATATATATATATATATATATATATATATATATATATATATATATATATATATATCAATATCAATATTTAAATGAAAATTAAAGACAAAATTACAGTCAAACATAATCATGAATTAAATTGAGTAAAGAGTTATTATATGAGATGACTATAAAGCAACAGTGAACATTAAACCGCAAGATAAATATGTCGCGACTGACCGAAACGAAAATTAAATATGAAATTGTAAAAAGGGATTTTTCTATAGCTACTTGCAGGAAATTGACCGCGTCGCGGCACCAAATTACTTACCTACCGAACAAGACATTCTACGCGTGAGAGTACCCACAACGGGAATCATTGAGTACCCATTTGACTTGGAAGAGATTCGATTTAGGTAAAATTTATGCATTTGCATGGCAAATAGACGGCGAATGCTTCGCTTCAATATGCATGTTACTGTTTATGGGTACTTTGGGTCTCTCCATGTTTTTTTTTTTAATTTACTTTGTCAAACCGTTGTAATTAACTGCTATTATGATTAAAGGCATGCTTAAATCTGCCTTAAATAAATCCATAAGTTGTAATTTCTAGATAATAAACAATTTACATAAATAGATTATTTAAGCAGGAAATGCAATTACGAAATGCTTTTGAGTTACATGTAAAGCAGTTAATTTCAATGAGCCTAAATATCATTGTCGTTGGATGTTTCTTTTGATTTACATGTTACTGTTACTGGGGTATATAATCATTGAATAATGCATGCATTACTTGGGCTTTTAGTTGCTTAAAATGAATTCCAGCTATTTAAGTGATCTCGAAAGGATCGAGAAGGCCGACTATCTGCCAACAGAACAGGATATCCTGCGCGCTCGCCAGCCAACGACTGGTATACTTGAGTATCCATTCGATCTTGATGGAATCATATTTAGGTATGTTTACAGCGTAGGAAATCAACGTAGTGAAACACATGATTTGCTAGATCGCTGGACTTGCGTTCGATCACCATCCAAAAAATCATCCAAAAAAAAGTCGCTATTAATTAGGTATGTATGAGCACATGGGTACTAACATACCGCTTTGGCTACTTGTCAATACCAAAACTATATGAAATATTGAAAAAAAAATAATTTTTATAAATATATTTAAGTAAATAAGTTAAAAGTGACTAAACAGAATATTTAACACCACATTTGTAGAGAATATTAAACAAATTCCAGTCAGTAAAGTAAATAAATAATGACAAGTAATAGTTGCACTGAAGCACCCTCCAATTGGCTCTCCACTTGCATTCCCCATCATTTAAATTATACTATTACAGTTTTCTAACATCCGCTAACTAATTGCACTATTCCAAAAATACTATACTAATTATGTTTTACATATATTATTTTAGATAATTGTTAGAATCAGGCGTTACTTTGCGGAAATCCATTATAATGAAGATATTAATAGTTACCTTGCAACCATCCGCTAAATTATATACAATGATGTGTCTTCTCTTTCTCTTAAACTACTCTCGTTTTCTTCAAATTAGGGAAGACACATCATTGTATATAATTTAGCGGATGGTTGCAAGGTAACTGTTAATATCTATAATATATTATTTCATTCAAATAGCTTCAGTTATTCCGGGATATTATTTGTTATATTTGGTTGGATAAATATACTGAAGTTTAATATCAGATTTTGTTAAATAAACAAATGTTAAACCAGTGATATGTTAAACATACAAATATTTAAAAAAATACGTATAGAATATTTAATTAGGATGTTAGTAAAACAAAAAATTATTTGTGTTTCCATTGTTACCTAACCTAACTCATTGCACGAAAATAATAAAAGGAAAGCAATTTATGCAGAAGGTAACCTACGTGCCATGAGCATGTGGGTTGTATCATGTATTCATTGCTTTTTTTGCTTTTAGATGCACTCAATAATTATACAATGAATGAATTAGTTAAAAATAAATACAACAAATTTAACAAATAATAAGGAATAATCATTTTACAGAGGTTAATTATTTAATTTTCCTATTCAATGTAAAATTATAATTATTAGTTGTGTATTATTTGCATATGCATGAATGCTTAAAGCAGAAATTATATGAAAGTGTTAGACATACTAGACTTGCGTACAGAAAGATGTTAGTTTTATTCATATCTTGCTATTAATTGATAAAATTAATGTTTATGAGAATAATCATATCAAGAATGCTCACATGTTTGTTAAAATACAGACTTTGATATAATTTCATTGTTAATTGCTATAGCTTTTTCTTACTATTTGTTACTAAGGTTTTCTTTGTGGCCATTGTTTGCAATGTGCATGTTCAATATTTTTTTTAAACAAATATTGCATAACCTTTTTTGGAATTGATCAGAAAGTGTAATTGATACAAATATTTCATTCATCACAGCCTATCAAAGTCCATCGATGAACATAGGCCTCCTCATAGTTTCCTCAGGGAGATGTTTGCTATAGTTGCCATGTTCGAGAGACTGGTTATCAACTGAAGTTTTTACTTCTCAGTTGTTACAAGGTGTAGACACTTCTGATAATGCCTTGGTTTGTTTCCCTTTGTCTTACACCGCCATCACACGGTTATATACAAAATATTACTGATTTTATTTTTTCTTTCATAAAACCAAAGTAACAAGCGAAGTTATAGTCCACCTGATAGCAAGTGGCAACTTAGACACCTGCAGCCAACTTCAAATAAAAATTGCTACACGTTTCAATAAAACTAGTTATATTGTGGTATATAAACTTATTTTATATTCCTGATTTTTCGAGCACTTTACGGCACCAATCCAGGTCACGGGGGGACTGAGGTATTCAACGTCCCAATGTCGTAGTTAATCACGACTACCTCCAGATTAATATTAAGCTATTGCATAGCTTCTATCGCGGGCCTTGAGCGCGGGGACCGAATCCAGAAATTCCGTAACGAAAAAAAACCTCACGCTCCCCACTCCGACGGGCACGGAGGTGTGGCGTTGAAAGCCGTGCATCGTCTAATGTCGTTTCAGTTCGGCAGACTTCGGCACTCGGCAGACTTCGGCACGGTGTTTGTGTGCGTCGACTAGACGTATGCGTGTACACTAGCTACTAACTCAATGATAAAAATTCCTGAATAACCTACATGTATTGTAAGATATTAAAAATATTTTAAACAATATTAACTTCTCATTTATTCAATAAGAGAAAAAAATTGTTTTCTTATCGGTCACCACGCTCAAAAAGTGTAACTTGATTTAATATCAAAGACTAAACTGCATAAATAAAATAAATAAATAATTATAATTGCATAAGTTGATAAAAAATGCTATGCAATAGCTTTATCGCGGCAGTCACCGAGTGCCACACTTATTTTTTATTTTAATAATTATGTGAATAAATAATTATATTAATTATAATTTCATTTAAATGTGTAGTGTTCGTGTAAACATAAAAAATCAAGATTGCTACAAGTTGTATTTTCACCTCTGAGGGTTAAGACGTAATGCCTCATAGCATGTAATCATATTGTTTTGCTGTGAGAAAAGACTGAAAAGAAAAGACTGTCACCAAATAGTTTGGTGACAGAAATAGGTAAGAGGGTGATTACCCAGATGGATTCCTAGACAAAAAAAGGAAGCCTACCACATAGAATACTTGAAATGAAAGTTAAAAATTATATAAATTGTCTCGAGTTCTTTAGAGTGTGCAATGGAAATAAGTTTTTAAATACGTAATTATGTATATTATGTCCCGATATATAACAAAATCATTCAATGAAATACCAAACTTGTATAACTAAAACGATGGCCAATATTTTTCAATTATATCACTTAATCGATCTAATGACCAACAGGATGGTGGACGTCGGCGGCCAAAGATCCGAGAGAAGGAAGTGGATTCATTGTTTCGAAAACGTCACGTCTATCATATTCTTAGTAGCTCTTAGTGAATATGATCAAATTTTATTCGAATCCGAGAATGAGGTGAGTTCTTTGTCATTGTTTATATATTACTGTTTATATTTCGCAGCGTAGCGGAGAAAAAGAATCTTTTTTATCTTCCCGTCGTCAACTTGCCATGCTCCGGAAAACTCTGTTGTTTACTTCAATTGTTACTGAAAGACGCCACACGTGCAGATCATTTGTAAGCTAGGTGGTAACTACACTTGCCCTTTTGAACTTATATGATAAAGTACGCGGTTGACCGAGCTTCGCTCGGTATTTTTCGCTCGGTTTTTTTTTAATTTTTCGTGTGTTTTGGAAATTATATTTAGAAACAAATTACATACTGATGAAATACGAATAATATTTTTTGATCTTAGCAACATAATAGAAAAAACTGAACTGGTTATTTGAATAAAAAATCATGAGTGCAATTAGTTTAATTTAAATTTTCGTGTTTTTAAAAAATAAACTTGAAAAAAAAAATTAAAAAAAAGTCGATCGGTCGGGGCTTGAACCATGGTATTACGATTTTGTGACCGCCCAATATACCAATTAAGCTATTTGTAATCATTAATAAACTGTCAAAATTTACCTTATTCTAACGATATTGTAGCAGTTTTTTATTGCCTAAAAACACGGACAAAAAGACATTTTCTAAAAATAAATCCTAGCTAGATCGATTTATTGCCCCCGAAAGTCCCTGCACACAAAATTTTATGAAAATCGTTGGAGCCGTTTCCGAGGGTTCCGATTATATATATACAAGAATTGCTCGTTTAAAGGTATAGGATAGGACTGAATTTCTATGATTACTTGGTACTTTTGTTAGGACATTAAGAACAAAGCCATTTTCTTTCTTTTTATGCTTCATCATCATCATCATTACAGCCCTTCACAACCACTGCTGAACATAGGCCTCCCCCAAGGTATGCCACAAAGCACGGTCCTGAGCCACCTGCATTTTTTTTATAGAAGAGGGGGCAAACGAGCATGCGGCTCACCTGATGATAAGTGACTACCGCCGCCCATGATCAACCGCAACACCAGGGGAATTGCCGGCCCTTTAGAAAGGAGTAAGCTCTTTTCTTGAAAGTCCCCAGGTCGTATCGGTACGGAAATATCGCCGGTGGTAAACTATTCCACAGAGAGGTTGTACGCGGAAGAAAACTCCTTTTGAAACGTACAGTGGTGGACCGCCAAGCATCCAGATGGTGTGGATGGTATCGGGACGTTTGCCGCGTAGTGCGTTCACGAAATTTGGCGGCTGGGATTAATCCGAACAATTCCTCAGAGCACTCTCCATGGTATATGCGAAAGAAAATGCAAAGAGATGCAACATCTCTTCGAGTGCCAGTGAATCGAGCCGATCGGAAAGCACTCGGTCGTCGACGATTCGAGCCGCTCTGCGCTGGATGCGGTCAAGTGGAAGGAGCTGGTACTGGGGAGCCCCAGCCCAGAGATGGGAACAGTATTCCATGTGCGGCCGGACCTGCGCCTTGTAAAGTTACAGGCGGTGTGCCGGCATGAAATACTGTCCCGCTCTGTTGACCACGCCAAGCTTTTTTAGAGGCCAATTTGGCCTTCTCTTCCAAGTGACCATGAAACTGCACGTCACTCGATATGTCGACGCCGAGGATTCCGATACTGGCTGAGGCAACAAGGGGAGTGCCTTAAAACTGAGGAGATACGACAAGGGGGGTTCTTTTTAGCGGTCGCGTAAACTTGTGTCTTCTGGGGGTTAACTGGACTAGATTTAGTCGCCCCCAATCCGAGACTCCGTTCAGCAAAGACTCGACTTCAGACACAAGTTTGTCCTAGTACTCGGAGACGTTTTGTCGAGAAATATTGGCTCGGCAGCTGTAAGGAGCATCACCAGTGCTGTCATCTGCATAGCAATGAATGTTACGGGTTTGCAACATATCATTGATATGCAGAAGAAACAGCGTTGGCGATAGCACGCAGCCTTGTGGAACACCAGCATTAATAGGCCTTGTAATCGGAGCTTGCACCGTCTACAACGACCTTGATGCTCCGATCTGCAAGAAAGCTGGTGATCCAATCGCACAATTTCTCGGGAAGCCCATAGGAAGGGAGCTTCGAAAGAACCGCTTTGTGCCAAACCCGATCGAATATGTAAGTATAATATGTAAGTATTAAGTCAATATATTCTATGATAATATATTGACTTAATACTTACAAAATTAATGTTGTAACTTTATTTAACCTGCACATTGCACATGGTGCAGTGCTATTTGAAGAACGAGGTTCTTGCAATCAACAGATACCAAAAAATCCATTAAACTATTTCTATTTCTGTAATAACCAACAATCCCGTCCAGCGAGATGAGTATGGGCAACTATTTAGAAATATGCAAGCCTTGTCATATATACATATTGTTGCCCAGTTTTAAATTAAAAAGGCTGTCGACTTTGAAATTACAAATTAATCCCAAGAAGGTTAATTTGTAGCATTTGTAGGAATGACCTTAACGTAAGAGTAGACAGTGAAGTTTTTTAAAATTCTCATGTAAATGAATTGATTTTGTATGAAAAAAAATTGCAAACTTTAGTATTATATGTATTTCTGTCATTTATATAATCTATATAGATATATTATTTAATTAATATTAAAGTGTATTATCATACATTTGTATAATATGCATCTATATCATAATTTGAATTGCCATTTGATACCTAACCAAGTTGGACAGATAAAAAAGAAAAATATTATTCAAACTTTATTTCGTTATGTTTTACATAGCGATCCGCCTCGGCTTAGCAGGGGTGATTTCGGGATATCGACAACGCGTCACCTAGAGAGTCCAATAGTGAATCTAAACCGACTGGGGATTCTCTCAAACGGACACAAAAAATTTCATCAAAATCGTTCAAGCTATTTCCGAGTTTTAGCGAGATTAAAGCACAGCTATTTATTTATATATTGAGATTGGTATTATCTAAAATAAGTTTTATTCCAATAAAAGTCAGTTTGTGATGCCGTCTCTATCCCACATAATGTTGCCATAGCTATCCACTAGGAAGACTTTATGGGAATAATGTAATTAATTACGTCTTTAATTAGCTAAGTTCTTCCATTTCTAATAACATTTTAACTTGTTTTGTGACCCATGTGAGGAAAGAGATAGGTTTACCATTATCCATAAACGCCTTTAGACAAGTGTAATTTTTTTATGAATGATTGAATTTATGTTTAAAATATGGAATAATAGGTGTGTGCATGTTTACAACTAGTGTCACAGTAGATATTGTATAATTATTATAATATATATAGAAACGATTATTGTTAACCACTTAAACATTTCCCTTGCACCATTTCTGCCATTTTATAGGTCATTAGTCACACAAGCCCTTATTATTTGTAAATGACATACATATCTGTCATGATCGGACTAATAAATACAAGGTCCTTATAAATTGATAGAAACAGAAACAGATTTTTTAAATTCAATATAGATTATAAATAATATTTTTTGAAAGTCACTCTTTTGTTTAATTATCACTGGTTCGGAAATAAAACTCTGCCCTGGGAAGAACCAGCAAGAAACCCAGTGGAACTTTTAAAAAAATAACAGTTTACAATCATGTTTTTTACACAATTAATCAACACAAAACAAATTACAAATAGCTTGGTAGCGATCACCTCATTCTCGGGGGTTATTATCATCCATAAATTCCTTAACATTGTAATAACTCTTTTTATACAAACTTAGTTTAATAGTTTTCGGACTTCGAGCAGGTCAAATTTTGTAATTGTAGATAAAAGTAGTTTATTCGAATATCAAATCTTCTATTTTCAGAACCGAATGGAAGAATCGAAGGCGCTATTCAAAACTATTATCACATACCCATGGTTCCAGCACTCGTCAGTAATCTTGTTCCTGAACAAAAAGGATTTGCTCGAGGAGAAGATCATGTATTCGCATCTGGTCGACTACTTTCCCGAATACGACGGTCTGTATTTTATTATATATCATTATGATTATTTTAAGGTGATATTACAAAAAGTATATGATTTGTCTATGGTTCAAACTAGATTCTGTTTCACGAGCTCAGTTCCCCGCCAGTATGCAAACTGAAATGTTAAGTGGAGGCAAATGTCAAATTTTAACGAAGACTGTGGCACTGCGACTAATGGCCAAATACTCAAACACTACTCAATTATAATATGTTGTTGAATCTCGCGGTGTCAAAGTCACTTTGACTTAAAGTGATAGAGACAGTACGAGATTTAACGGCATCTTAGAATTAAGTAGCGTTTGAGTATTTGGGCATAAGAGATTCCGTATTTAGTTATTTAGGACTCTTAAACTATTAAACCATAGTTTAAATCCATAATTATCATCAATGAACCACTTTTTGTTATAAAACAGATTGTGTCTGATTTTCATCATACCTACAGCATGGTCATGTAATAGTTTCTCATACCAACTGGTGAAAGATTCTAAAAACTCTCTTTTACTCAGGAAAACGACAGTTCTTTATAATTATTATTAAGTCTAGAGAAGTGATAATAGTATTACTTTAGAAGCTCTGTCTTTCATTTACTTTGATTTCTATCACTACTTTAGGAGATTTATAAATAATTATGATGTAAAGTATGGACTATGTAGTAGTGGCAGTGTAAGAATATCTTCTATCCCATATAGGCCCGAGGATCGTAAGAGGCGACAGAGCGAAACATACGGGAGATGGGCAGCAGCGTCTTCGTAATAACGTCTAAAAATAGAAAAACAGCCCTTGCCAACCCGTTTGCCAACCGTGGCAACTATGGAGAATATCCCACTATGAGGCAATTTTTTGGGGAGGCCTATGTTCAGCAGTGGACTTTAATAAACTCTAACAGTATGATGTAAACATCTCAGTGAACGATATCCTTCAGTTTAATTAAGTGGTTTTTTTTTCATATTTTTTTAACTTATATTCAAGTAGTAGTTTCATTTGCATTACCATTATTTATTTTACTGATATGTGGATTCCTCTAGAAGAAGTATCCAGTACATTTCATCATCTCATGGGTGTTTGTTGTGTGTCACCTTTTACGTAAAGAAATGAGCGGCAGCATCATCTTCACATGATAATCAAAATTTTAAAAAATGAGGTTCTCAACCCACGTGTAAAGCGCGACAGCTATGGCAAGTGTTACCTCTATGGGGGAGACCTATGATCAGCAGTGGAGTCTTGATGGGCTATAATGAATGAATGTATGATGAACTTAACTGACATGCTCTGACCTACTTTATAAGAAGCAGATCTAAGCTCGATAGATAGAAATATTTTAGGTACAAAGGGGTAAAAACAACACCAACAAACCTGGAAAACATTAATTTATGTTTTTGCACCAATGTTAGTTCCAACTGGGACTTGAATCCAACCCGCGACACATTGCATCTAAGGTACTTTAAGCAGTGTGTGTACTAGTTTTGATAAGTCATAGTAAATTTTAATAATTATTAGGTCCGAAATGCGATCCGATTCCAGCACGAGAATTTATTCTTCAGAAATATCTGAAAGAGAATCCCGATCCGGACAGATCCTGTTACTCACACTTCACGACAGCGACAGGTTGAATTCTAAGCCAACATAAAATTTTTATTATAAGCTAGACTGTGTGATTTGGCTACTTTTTGTTAAGTAAGCTAGAAATGTAAGCTAGAATTAAGTCTTTGATGGTTCATAAATTGATTTTTTTTACGCGAAATAAATTATTTATTACATTATAAAATAGTATGAGTTTGTATATCATACAAATTTTTTACGAACCAATAGAGACCCTATGATCCTAGATGTTAACCTAATTGTAGTTTAGTGAGAGTGAATCCATAATATTCAGGTCCACAACGCGACGCCAGTACTGCGCGCGAGTTTATCCTAAGGATGTTTGTCGATCTCAATCCAGACGCCGAGAAAATTATCTACTCGCACTTCACTTGTGCGACAGGTGAGTAAATGTTCTTATTAGTACCTACTATAATAATGTTAAACGCTTGCTGCTCGCGGTGCAATAAAATGAGGAAACAGGACGCCGTCTGTTGCGCTTTGCGCTCTTTGTCGCACTTATGGCAGGCCTGCCGTATGTGCGAGAGAGAGTGCAAATTGTAACAGGAATAACATACAATTCTTTACAAAAATTTTGTATTTATAGTACTTAAAAAATTTAACTGTCTACATAGCAACATGCTAATTGAATTAGAAAATTCTCTGTAATGACTCTGGCAGACAATGTCATGTGTCATAAAGCAAATATTATAATACGGCAAAAACCCAAAATCAACAGTTTAGTGTTAATACAAAACCTCACAACTATCAGTATAAATGTCGTCTTCGTTTTAATTAAATAATTTAGACAAAAATGAAAAGATTGTGGTATGTATTGTATATAATTGATTGTTCTTACTCATTGCATGGTTACGTAGTACCATGCAATAATAATTACTAATTATTAGGGCTCATAAACTGTATACAATAATCAGAGAAAACCACATTTCTACAGAATGCCTACCTATATCGTTTCTATAAATACCTATATTAATATTTCATTAGGTGGTCGCTCGCTCACCTATTTCGGTCACCAAATAGCAATGCCTGCACTGTTGTGTTCGGATCTCTAAGGCATAGGTACCTAATATAATTACGGGCTGTGTGGGATTCCATCTTAGTACTCACTTGTGACAGCTATCGCCTTCTTTGTTAAAACTTGGTCGTAGTTGTCTATGGGCTGCAGTAATCACAGTCACTTATTACTTCAGTATTTAAAAAAAAATATCGAAGTTCTAAGGAAAGGATGCACATAAGTTTGTGTTTGTTGCATCATTGTTTATACATAGGGTATTTCATTATTATAGTGGACTGTATTATCGTCGAATAAGGACTGATTGATAGTGACTAAATGTCAGATGAACTTTTAAGCAACTGTCATTTGTTTAAAAGTCGACAAATAGTTAAGATTAACATCATGGCTACTGTGTTTCACGACTTAAACACTTATACTGTGTACATCACTACTACCACCCTTATCGTATTCCCTTATAATGTCAATGAGGAGACATTTACTAAACTAACTGATGTGACTTAAGGTCTAATGAAAAGTAGAACTAAATTGTCGAGTATCGCTCTCTTATGACAACTGCATAGTCTGCTAAATGACACTCATACAATTCTTAGTTGTGTTAATGTAACTTCTTATATGACATTTTCACTATCTGAGTAGTAGTGTAATCAAAATAGAAATATATAGTAAAATTCACTCAATAATCTCGTTGTCTAAAAGGCGTTAAATTCTGAAGGGTTGTCTAAAGGGTCTTACCTTTATCACAATAAGTAGTTGAAATAAAAATAATAACAGTTAATAAAATTTTAATAGGCTTAATATTCTCGCTGAAACGTCGATATGTACAATGAACATGTATTATTACTATGAACATCGATATATATGTACCACGCACTAGATTTGGCATTCCGAACACTCACTATGTTCAACTGAACTGTACTGCAATCCGTACACCTGTTATTGTGGCTTCGATATTCATGCAGTGCGGAGCGGTCCTAATAATAATTTTATATTAAATTAGTACATATGCAAAAAAATTAAAAAATGTACTCGATTAACAATACAATCTAAATAAACAATTATTTATTATGACAATTTTCGCGCGTTTATATCAACTGCGCATTCGCGATTCTACTGTTTCCCGCGCATGTGTGGATACAGAGTAGTGCACATTTTTGTTTGGAATAGCTTCTCTAGTACGTAGTACATATAACTCAATGACTATGAAGCGTTTTCTTTTAACACCATCGGCTCAGCGCTTGATTTGACATCCCTATAATGATAATATTTATCAAAAAGGAAAAGTTAACTTGGCATATAATTTAAAAAAAAAGTTTTCTTCACCTCTGGAGTGGTCGTGCCAACAATTATACAGGGTGTCCCAGAACGTAACGATCAAACGAAAGGGGGTTGTAGGCCATGGAAGAACTGTACGAAAAAAAAATTAAGTACTATACCCAAATTGCTTGCTTCAAAAGATAAAGGCTGATTTATAAATTTTCGAGAAAACAGCCTTTGCGTCAATATTTTTGATGCTGCATCTGCAAATGAGAACCGATTTTAAATTTTTTGTCTGTTTTGTACAGCCTAATAATATGTCTACTATACGTACTAATTTATTTTTCAGTGCCTATTACGGTTTGTTAGAAATAAATACATAAAACTTCGTAAAAGTGTAAAAATGTAACATTAAAGTTTTATCGAGCAAGTTGGACCCTTCATACTGTAAAAAAATGTACCCACATGGACCTGGCAACTGTATTCAAAAGTTGGCGCAATTCATGTAGATTTCAAAATTGCGTAATACTTGGTACTTTTACTTCAACTTTTTGTGCTATAATTTTTTTTTCTGGCAGAGGGGAATATTTTGTGCAAACTACTCAATTAGATATTTTTTTAAATGATTCGTCCGTTCGACTGTTAAGAAAAATAAATACTGTTTTGGCCGATTTTAGACCTAATATCCATAGAAAATAGTACCTGCACGTGGTAGAGAAGACTTTGACATTGAAGACGAAGTTTTGGAGCAGGTTCGAAATAATCCGCAAAATTTTGTTCGTAAAATTGCATTATTGACAGGAATACCTAAGTCAAGTGTACATAGGGTGCTCTAACGCCATAGGTACCACGCCTACCACTATCAATAAGTGCAGACTCTTTTGCCACGGGATTATACCCGATTTTAACCCGAATTTTCTAAATAATATTTTATGGACGGATGACGCACTTTCAAGAAAGATGGATTTATGATCATGCACAACATACATAGTTTGAGTATGGTGAAACCGCATTTAATGCACGAAGAAAGCTCTCACTATCGATTCAAAGTAAATCTGTGGACCGGTATTATTAACGGGCGCTTAATCGGACCTTTAGAATTTCCAGAAGCAATAAAGGTCTTCCTGGAATTTTTAAGAAGAGACCTGCCCATTTTATTAGAAAACTTACCACCCGCAACCTTACGAGATATGTGGTTACAGAATAAAGGCTGCCCCACCCATTACGATTTGCCGGTAAGGAACTTTTTGAATGAACATTACCCAGGAAAATGGATAGCTCGCATGGAGCCTATTTTATGGCCAGCATGGTCACCGGACTTTAATCCATTGGATTTTTTATTGGAGATATCTAAAAGAAAAGAAAACAATCCTGCATTTTTATTGCAGAGTTTCGACAAAAGATAATCGAATTTTTTCAACAAGCAAATAACAGAATATTGGAGCGGCCTATAACACGTTCTTTCACAAGAGGATGCCGCGCCTGTATTAGAGCAAGAGGTCGACAATTCGAACATTTATTGTAAAAATTATCGATAAAAATCATAAAGAAATTATTCGTTTTATTATCACTTATTGATTGTTTTTCGTAAGTTTACAAAACAAAAGGGGCAGGTTAACAGGATTAGTTACCTGAATAGTTCTAGTCACTTCCATATCTTCTGTCTCGCTTGCACTTTCATACTCCTATGCGTCATAGCAACTAAAACTGGGAAGATTCGTATGTATCGTAATTTTGAATGTGTTTTGAAAATTGAATAAAAAAATGAACTACTTTTTACTTTTCTATGGATATTAGGTTTAAAATTAGCCAAATCAGCTTGAAAACGAATTATTTTTCTTAACATTAATCGAACGGACGAATCATTTAAAAAAAATCTAATTGAGGAGTTTGCACAAAATATTCCCTCTGCCAGAAAAAAAATTATAGCACAAAAAGTTGAAGTAAAAGTATCAAGTATTATACCATTTTGAAATCTACATGAATTGTGCCAACTTTTGAGTACAGTTGCCAGGTCCATGTGGGTACATTTTTTTACAGTATGAAGGGTCCAACTTGCTCGATAAAACTTTAATGTTACATTTTTACACTTTTACGAAGTTTTATGTATTTATTTCTAACAAACCGTAATAGGTACTGAAAAATAAATTAGTAGGTATAGTAAGCATATTATTAGGCTGTACAAAACAGAAAAAAAATTAAAATCGGTCCACATTTGCAGATGCAGCATCAAAAATATTGACGCAAAGGCTGATTTTCTGGAAAATTTATAAATCAGCCTTTATCTTTTGAACCAAGCAATTTGGGTATATGACTTAATTTTTTTTTCGAACAGTTCTTCCATGGTCTACAACCCCCTTTCGTTTGATCGTTACGTTCTGGGACAACCTGTGCGTACATTATAGTCAACCGAATTTAAGAAATACCTTTTGACATTTCACATTAATCATTCCGCAGTAACTTCGCACAAGCGTACTCATACGATTTACAATAAACCTTTACCTAAATCTGAAGAATTATGAAGTTATCTATATTTAATTACAACGTGTTTAGTTTTTTATCGGTAATTTAAATTCGAATCTTTCAAACAAAGCAAAATATTTAAAAATAACCAGTATCAACTTTTTTACGTCCTTTCAATGATATGTCGCTATGTGCCTTACCATAGTGTTTGGATGGTTAAAATTCATTGATATTGGAATAATCGGCAAAAAGATTAAAATAATCGTTAAAAATATTCAAATAATCGAATTGTTAATTTTTTAAATGTATTATTTGTTTAATTAAATTGTTGTTTTTATAATGCATTAAATTACATGAATCATGAATAAAAACGACTTCTTTTTTTTACTTTGTCAACGTAAAGGACAATGGCGAACCCCCAAATAAATTTTAGTTGACTTTTTTTCTTGCGTCTATAAATGCAAAATATGTAAAAATATAGTTAAAGATCCTGAACATTTCTTTCTTCGGCCATACTACTGCAAGAAGTCAGGAATTAGAGATATTCCAGTTTAAACAAAATACACATCGGACTAGGGTGTAGGTAGAACCAAATTTTCATATATTATATAGGGTAGTTACTACAAAGGATCCAAAGAACTACACCACCA